CTATCTATCTATCTATCTATCTATCTATCTATCTATCTATCTATCTACTTGGTTTTTCAGGACAGGGTTTCTCTGTGTAGCCTGACTGTCTTGGAATTCACTCTGTAGACCAGGCTAGAGACCAGGCCTGCCACTGTCTGGCTTCTGACTAAGAAGGAAAAGATACCATTTCCAAGAAAAACCAGCACAGGGAGACCCTGTTGTCTGGCAAAGACCAACAGAAAGATACACAGGAAACAAACTGAGAATAAAGTGGACAGACTAGACATTAACACAAACCAACCAAGCATTCAGAAACACAGTTCTGGATGTGTCAAAAAGACTTAAATAGTAAAACCAACCTGACCACCGCACTTTTCTGCTTCAAAGCATTGAGGGAGGCAGGGTCTGTACACCACCTGTAAGTGAAGCCAAGAAAAGAGGGGGATTTATAGATTCACCACATCAGCCGTCCTCTCTAATTCTGTCCTTTCATGTTCCCCACTCTATGTCTTTAAGTTTGTATCTTAAAAAAAAAAAAAAAAAGAAACACAAGTTTGTATCTTGTCCCTTTTCTCTCCCTTCCTCTAAATTCTTTTTCAAGGGTTTTGTCAACTATAGTCTTTAGAACAAAAATCATCTGCCAATTTAAATGAGAGATTTAATACTAGGAAGTAGCAACACAAGTGATAGGGACTTAGCATACAGCTTGGTGTGATGTACTTGCCTAGTACAAGGCTTTAGATCCAATCCTCAGAGAAGAGAAGTGCTATAAGGGCTGAGAAGCACCCTTGAGACAAAAAGGCAAGTAATCCTAAACTATTTGCCCCAGTGCAAGATGGGGATGGAGGATGGAGAGGCATCACTGCTGTGGGTAGGAGCCACCAGTGGGTAACAGGGTCACAGCAGGCTCTTCTGGAGGCCTAACTAGAGCCACAAAAGAGCCACAGTCCCTCCTGAAGATGTCCCGGGGGTGGGGGGGAGGGCAGAGAGAGGTGGCCAGTACACTCCAACTTCCTTCTTCTTCCTTGCTTCCAGCACCCTCCTGGTGCCTCCCACTAGCTAACCCTAAGCTGAAGCCAAATGACAAAGAACCCTGAGATGCCACCTCAGAGCCTTACAAAGCGGAGCAGACATGAGGCAGCAGTACCAGGAATAGCACAAATGGTAGGGACTCTCTATTTGAAAGAATTTTTAACATTTAAATTAAGATAGCATATCCAAAGCTTAGCTACTCTGGGAGTATAAAAGTAAAATTTGTGTGATTGTACTAAAAAAAAAAAAGTGACATTAATTCCTAAAAACAATTCATTTTGATTGTATGGGAGACCACAACAGCCATGGAAAATTAAGAAGTAACATAGAAAACCTGACACAGAGCCTATGGCATAAGACTTGTAGTAAGAAACAGGCTAGCATTCACCCATTTCTGACCTGGGTATGAGCAAAAAGAAGAAAAGTAAGCAGGATAAAGAAATCATGGGAGAGTGTTGAGAGTGACACAGTGAAACTGATTATAAAATGGTGCAGGCAGAGAGAAGGTAGGGAAAGTGGAGGCTGGGAGACAGACAGGAAACAAGAGGTCCACCATCCTTTGTGGCAGGAAGTCCTTTGGAAAGGGAGGCATACATGACTCTCTAGGTCATTTCAGTGCTAGTCTCTCTCTCAGCCATTCTCCTGACATGTGCTCTACCGCATTCTCTGCAGTTTCGAATACTCTTCCAGCTTACATTCTTTTTTTCCTTTTACACAAGGTCTCATGCCTAAGAACTGGATGCAAATGTGCTATGTAATCAAGGATGAACTTGGATTTCTAACCCTCTTGCCTCTACCCCCAGAGTTCTCGGATTATAGGGATGTGCTGCACCACCATGCCTGGTTTATAAGGTGCCTGGGGCTGAAGACGTGTGTGTGTGTGTGTGTGTGTGTGTGTGTGTGTGTGTGTGTGTGTCCTCACTGTGATTCTATCTACTAGTACTTCCCTTTCCCCACCATGTTTTAAGATTGGAATAAAATACAAACTGTGCAGAAAACAAATTAAACAACCATGGAAGAGCAAGTAAGACTCCCATCTCCTCAGAGACTAGTCTTAACTCACTCCTTAAATGTGTGGATTAAGAATCTCTGTCCTTTCCTACCTCTGTAGTCAATGCTAATCAATTAAAAAGCTGATTTTAAAAGTGATTTTAAAATTACAGAGAAAGGCACTGATTGTGGCGCCATTTATGATTCCAGCATTGAGAAGGCAGTACAAGAGAACCAGGAGTCCAAGGCCATCCTCAGCTACACAGGGAGTCAGACCAATCTGGGCTATGTTAGACCCTTTCAAAATCATAAACAATTCAAATTGAGCCCTGGAGGAGTCTGAGAGCAGGGTCTGAGGTCAACACAGCAAAAGTCTGTCTCAAAACCAATCCAAAATTAAAATAAACACAATTTTTAACTAGATAGAAATGCATCAATCACATTTGCCCCGTAGTACCTTAGCAGTAAGGGCCTTACAGTATCCCAATATTCCTGGAAAAGCAGGAACAAATTTGTGGGTAAAGACAGATAGCTACAGAGTGCACTGTACTCTCCTTCAGCAGAGTCTGCAAGAAATAACAAGATATATTCAATGAGCGCATTATTCTCATCTACTGAGTGTCGAAGGAGCTCCCTCACTGTTTACTTTGCTGAGGACTGGTGACACGCTCTACCCCTGAGCTACACCCTAGCTCACAAAGCCTTTATTGTGGCATAAAGACCCAGCTAAAGCACACACATCTGGCTACCTCCTGGACCTCCATGCCCACGAGATTTCCAGGTGGAATCTTATCTTCACTGTTCTCTTACTATACCAACCAATACCTTTATACTGATTTTCACTTAAGTAAAAACACTCTTCAACTCTCTGACCAGCTCGATCCCATGTATGCTGCTCTTTGTTTAATGTCTCCTTGAAGAAGAGTCTTCCTCGACTACTTATTTCCAAGAGTTCCGACCCTGGTCATAATCAGCTTTACTTTTCTTTGTAGGACTCATCACCATTTGGCATTATACCATGCATATTTATGTTTCCTTATATTTACCTGCATCCTAACAAGAGAAAATACTTTATTTTGTATGACAGCTTATTGGATAAGCTCTGTGTGTGCCAGAAAGAGATCTGAACTGGAAATTAAACACAGAGTAACATTCTATTTTATAGAGAACCCTGACAAAGCTTGATCATACCTAGCCTAGTGAACTGCGTTCAAGATAAGGACGTTAACAGTTATTCAAAGTGACCTCATTCTCAAAGGACAAAATGATTCAACAATTCTGGTCACTTTTAAAATCAAACAAATATTCTGACTCTTATGAAGAGAACATAGTAAGGAAGCCTTCTCTGCTTTCATCTAGATTTATAAATGAGTAAATTAAGAAGAAAGTGGTGCTATTGGTAAATATACATGTTTTTTGATGTTCAGAAGCCCCCCCTTTAAAAAAAGATTTATTATGTATACAATATTTGCCTGCATGTATGCCTGCAGGCCAAACGAGGGCACTAGATCTCATTATAGATGGTTGTGCACCACCAAGTGGTTGTTGGGAATTGAGCTCTGGACTTCTAGAAGAACAGCCAGTGCTCTTAACTTCTGAGCCATCTCTCCAGCCCCAGAAGGCCTTTTTTGATCACTCTTTTAATTCTTAAATATAGCTATATGTTCAAAATCCAAATAAAGGTATAAAATAAAGCCATGTTCCTGCCTGGACAAACAGTTCTCTTCCACAAAGGTAACAAATATCTCTAATTTCCTGTATATGCTATCAGTCATATTTTCCAAATAGGTAGCTTTATTGTTGAGAGAAGGTCTCACTGTATAGCCTTAGAAACTCTGTAACTCTTTATGTAAACCAGGCTGCCTTCAAACTAATCAAAATCTGCCTGCCTCTGCCTCCCGAGTACTGGGATTAAATTACCAACTCGCATATAGGTATTTTTAAAGAATTGTATGCATGCTTGTGCATGTGTGCATGTACATGCATGTGCTTGCTTCCATGTGAAGGACAGAGGACAAAATTTAGGTGTGGAAGCGGTCTGTCTTGCTTTGCTGCTGTACTGGGAACTCCAGGCTAGCTGGCCCACAGACTTCAGGGTGACTCTCCAGTATCTGCTCCCATTTCTTCATAGACGTGCTGGGATTACAACTGCTTGCCACCACATCTGTTTTTTAAAAATTTATTTACTTTTTGAGCTGAGTGCAGTGGCGCATGCCTGTAATCTCAGCCCTCGGGGAGGCAGAGGCAGGGGATCTCTGTGAGTTCAAGGTCAGCCTGGTCTACAAAGCGAGGCTAGGACAGCCAAGGCTACACAGAGAAACCCTGTCTCAATACCCCCTGTCCTCCCTCCCAAACAGTTACTTTTTACATTTATTTATTTACTGAAGGGGGGACATGACTATACCACACTGCGCACGTTGCGGGTCTGAGAACAATGTGTAGGAGTTAGTCTCTCCTTCCACTATGTGGGTTTCAGGGAGTGAGTTTACGCTGTCAGACTTGGCAACAAGTATCCTTACCTGTTGAACTATCTTGCCATTCTACATTCAGCTTATTACATGGGGTGGGAGATTGAACTCAGGTCATGAGGCTTGCATGGCTGGCACTGTTATCTGCTGTGCTCTCTCTCCTGCCCCTTGTATGCAGGTATTTTAATAACCACAGGACTTTAACTATATATACACAGGAACCAAGAGCAGAATTGCCGCTTATGAGACCGAACTGTTTTTTGGCCTCACTTGTAACTAAGCCTGGGCAGGTGCACCTGAGTTCAGAGCGAACACAGATGCTGGGTCGCTAAGGGCAGAAGCAGTTGGCTTACTCATGAAGACAAGGACAGGGAGGACAAGTCTCCATTCCCTGCTCTGACTGCAGTCTCTTACTTACTGGCAAACAGTTCTTCAGGTGGAGTCACCCCAAGTAAATAGTGGAAAAACAATGCAGCACAGCGAAGATAAGGAATGATGCCATTCTTCAAGGAGACCCACAAATACCAGCCAGGAGCACCACACCCAATGAAGCTAAGAAACAATGATTCCAGAACAGAACAGAATATTTACCAGATTGAAACCAGATTTTAAACACAACCCCTGTTTAAACCACATTTAGTTAATGACAGAATTTCTAAGCATTAAAAAAAAAGTATTTAGTTAGCTAATAGCTTTTGTATATACATTCCCTTAAAGAAAACCACAACTTAAAAAAAAAATTATTTTTAACCAGGTAGGGTTTTATTCCTTTTTTTTTCCTGTTTGGCAGGGCTAGGTGGTGAAACTAGAGCCTGATGAACATTAGGCAAAGACTGCCATGGGCATGGGCTGTCTCTGCCAGGAAGACTCAAAAGCATACCAGCACTCTCTGTTTCCTTAGGTGATGATAAAAACAAAGCAAAACAAAACAAAAGTCAATTGAAAACAAAGCACTTTAAAGTATCTGGATTCTCACAACATTCTCCCTGCAATGTAAAGCAAAGCTTGTAAAGCTTTCATTTTATCCCCATTGTTACTGAAACAAAACAAAACAAACGCCACCCATGCAATGAAATCAGAAGAAAAAAAAAAAAGAGAGAGAGACAGGACATGCTAAAAAATGACTGTTGTTCCTACTGCCTATATTAAACCTGACAGTGATCTGCAGAGCAACAAGACCCCTGGCACATAATGCTGTAAGAGCAAAACAAAAATAATGCAAACTATGGACTTCAACTAATAATAGCATGTCAACATTATTGGTTCTAACAAATGTGCCACCATAATAAAAAACATGTGTGCGGAGGAATAAAAATGAATATTTTTATTCTCTGTTCAATTTTCCTGTAAATTTAAATTACCTGTATAAATGATATATAGTGAGTACATAGTATATACACATTAAAACATAAATGGAAAATTAGTTCCCATGTTAATAATAAAAGTATGAAAATCTTTTTAACTATTTACATACATTCCTGGTATGGTCACTGTAACAAGGCAACTTATTTTCTACTTTTATTTAAAACAAACACTTTTAATCTCCTGCCCTTTACCTCAAGGTAAAAATCAAAGTAAATTTCTTTGCTATAAGCCTATGGTACAAATGAAAATAACAAAATAAACGTGGTGCAGTGGCGCACGACTGAAATCCCAGCATACTGGGAGGCAAAGGCAGAGGCAGGCAGATCTCTGTAAGTTCGAGGAGAGCCTGCGCTACAAAGCAAGTCTAGGGCAGCCAAGGTTACACAAAGAAACCCTGTCTTGGGTGTGTGTGTGTGTATGTGTGGGAGGCTTAGCTGATTTTAGAATAAGAATTAAAATGGCTGAAAGGTACACTGCCAAACTCCTGAACAAAGACCTGAACTTACTGAAGGGACGCTGAGGGCGACTGGCCAGGGGACTGCTACTCACCCGGTATGCTGTGAGACTTCTGCCAAGAAAGCAGATGCACAGCGAGCCTCTTCACTGTCCTCTTCACCTTGAACAAGCGGGAGCCCTGGAGACAGATTTGCAGGGCAGATTTAAAAATTTGCTCCCTGCCAGGAAGGTCAAGGACACCTACAGAGTTAGTTAACTGGCCCATAGGGGCTCACTGACACTGAACCAGCAACCAGACAGCATGAATGGGGCAGACCTAGGACTCCTAATGACGGGAGTAGGGGCTGTTTCTCACTCTGCTGCCTGCCTTCAGATCCTTTCCCCCTAACTAGACTGGATGGCCTTGTCTAGTCTCAATTGAAGAAGATGCGCCTAGTCCCAATGCAACTTGATATGCTGGTTCATATCTACGGAGGCCTCCCCTTCTCAAAAAGAAAGGGAGAGGAGAGGAGGCACTGGGAACAGAGGAGGGCGGGAAACCTGTAAAGTAAATTAAGTAATTAATTAATGGAAAAAAAAGAGAACATAGACCCAACCCCCTCCCCCAAAAGAATCTCTTCTCTAACCAGTGTGTTAAACCTCAAATTCATGATTCCAGAACATCCTGTAACTGCTTTGTTTCTTACACTAGAACCCTCGGCTTCAATACAGCTTTACTGTGTAGAAATGGAGGTAAAAATGCCTGCCTTGTAGTTTCCTATGACAGTCTGCTATGGCACACTTCAACAGAGCTATTGTTTTCAAACTGTCTATGTATCAATGCGTTTGAAAGTTCATAAAGTTACTCGCAGTCCTTTGACATATTTTCTAAATAAAAATCTAAGGACACACTTCATCTTTAAAAGTTGTCAACAGGGTTGGTAAGATGGCTCAGTAGGTAAAGGCGCTTGCTGCCAAGTCTGACAACCTAAATTCTATACCCAAAACCCATAAAGTAGAAGGAGAGAATTAACTCCTCTGAGCTGTCTTGACCTCACAGGTGCATGATGGCACACAGGCATCCCTTCCTCCACAAATAAATAAATGAATACAACAGTCTACTTAAGTTGGAACATATTTTGTTTTGTTTTGCTTTTACATTTAAGTTAGGAGATAAAAGTGGCCAGGTGTTGGCGGCACACACGTCTTAATCCCAGCACTCAGGAAGCAGAGGCAGGCAGATTTTCCTGAGTTCTGAGAGCAGCTGGTCTACAAAGAGTCCAGAAGAGCCAAGGCTACACATAGAGAAACCCTGTCTGGGGCTGCAGGGGCCGGGGGAAAGTGAAGTGTTGCTCAGTGGTAGAATGTATGTTTTTATGTCCTAGAACCTGGATTCAATCCCCAGCAACATGCATATGCATAAAAACCACAATAATTTATAAATTATGTAGATGTATGTCTGTGTGAGTTTGTATACGTGAATATGCATGGGGGGACAGGGGGATAAAGTGAATTTTACATACAGTGAAATGAGTTCTAGCAAGCCGTTTAGTGAGTTTGGCAAACACATATATGTAATAAGAATATTCATTTGCTTTTCATCAGTTAACTGAGCTGAGGAGATAGAGTACCTGTCATTCACGGATGAAAACCTGTGTTCTGATCCTGGGCACCCATCTAAAAGCTGGGCATGGCTACTCACACGGTTGAGCAGAAACAGACAGGTCCCCAGAACTTACTGGCTACCCACCCTCGCCTAACCAATGAGTTTCTCAGTTCGCTGAGAAACCCTGCCTCAAAAATGAAGAGTGATTAAAAACATCTAACACTGACCTCTAGCTCCAGAAGCAGGCGCATGCACAAGTACACACTCACACAAATGTGTGTAGAACACATACATATACACTCGTAAGTCAGTGAACTGAACTGTTCTGGAAAAGTTTTAGGTTCGTAGCAAAACTGAGCAAAATATACAGAAGTCTATATATTTCTGATCCTACACATGCAGAACTTCTCCTAGTACCAACATCCACATTGTTTATTATATGTGTATTACTAACAATTATTCTGACCAAAAGTTCATACTGACAAACTGATTCTAAGTTGAACCCAAAGTCATGCCTTATGCCTGTAACTTTTCACATCTGCCAGGAGTTCAAAGTCAGCCTGGGGCTACAAAGAGTTTAGAACAGACTGACCTAGGGTGAAACTCTGTTTTTAAAGTGTTAAGCCAGGCAACAGTGGTTAGGAAAGCTTACCAATCTTCCAGAGGACCTAAATTTAGTTGCCAGCACTGACTTTAGGCAACTCACAACTTCCTGTAACTATAGTTCCAGAGGCTCTGATGCCTCCGGCCCACATACGCACCTGCATTCAGAACACAAACCCATATGCATATAACTAAAAATAATAAAACTGGTATTTGAAAACAGTTCATGCAGAGAGGCAAAAGTCCTGAAGAACTAGTTCAGTACTGAAAGGGTAGAACAGAGCTGGATGGTCACCCTCATCTGAGTCAAGACTATCACCCAAAGTGTACATTCAGGTTCACTCGTGATGTTCTGCATCCTATGGGTTTGGACAGCATATATATATATATATGCATATACATATATATGCATATATATATATGTTATAAGGACTAGTTCACTGCCTCTGTGCTTTTCCTCACCCATGGACGTCACTGTTCTGCTCACAGTATCTTCAGTTTTGCCTTCTCCAGAATGTCCAGTAGTTGGACCCATGAAGTATCTTTCACATTGGCCTTTTTCACTTATTATATATACTCAAATCTTTTCTACACACTTTTAGGACTGGATAGTTCATTTCTTTATGGAATTGAATAATATCCCACTGTCTACATGTACAACAAATTATCAATCAACTAATGGCTACTCTGGCTGCTTCCAAATTTTCCCTTATCATCATATGGTAAAAGTATATTTAGTTTTCATTGATTCTCTCTCTAGAAGTGAAATAAATGCATATGGTACCTATGGTGGCCAGAAGAGGGAGCTGAATCCCCCAGAACTGGAGTTAACAGAGTTGGGAGTTGCCATATAGGTGCTGGGAATTGAACCTGGGTCCTCTGATATAGCAACCAGTGCTTTAACCACTTGAGCTATCTTTCCAGTCCTCTCTAACATGATTTTTTTAATCTGATTTTTCTTTAAATTACCTGACTTTTCAGTAACTATTATTAATTATTGTTATATAGACCCAGACTTCACTTATTTATTTATTGTTTGTTTGTCTGACATGTACAAATATGATATATGGTATACATGCTTATATGTATGTGTGTGTTCGCATGTTGTGCATGCATGTATAAGTCCAAAGCTTACTGAATGTCTTCCTTGATCCCTTCCCACTTATTTATTTATTGAAGCAGGGTCTCTCACTGAAGCTGGAGCTTGCCAATTCCAGCTAGTTTAGCAAGGCAGCTTGCTCCATGGACCTTTGTCTCAGCCTCCTAACGTGGTACCCACACACCTGTGTAGCCTCTGTGTGGGTTTTGCTCCTCACGCTTGCACAGCAAGTACACTTTACCTTCCACGCCATCACCTACCATCTGCTACTTAGGACTTGACGCTAAAAGGAAACTTATAATTTGATGTTATATTATATTCGTGTAATTTGAGTCATAATTCAAAAACACTTAATGAGTACTTATAGGGGAGAACAAAGGTTGCCAGATAATTGAGGCTAAGAGGAATGGTTTTGAAATATAAGTGTACGCTGTAATCGAGAAACACACATGAGAAAGGAAGAACGGAAAGAAAGGAGAAGCTGGGCAAGGAGTGGAATGGGCAACAAATAACTATGAAATAAAGTCACCTATGGCAATGCTATAAGGTAAAAATCATACTATTATTGTAGCTATAAGGTAAGAAACATACTATCATTGTAGATGAAAGAATGGGTTCCTGGAAAGCTTGGCGAAAGGCAGAATGTGTGTGGGTAGGAATAAACTTGGAGAGACTTTGACAATGAAGAATTTGGAAGAAAAGAAAAGGGTCCTAACAGTCCCTCCACAATCAAATAATTTCAGCTAATTAGCCTTTTCAGTTTATTCTGCCTTTACCTATTTAAGTAACATTTGGTAAGAAATATGTGAATAAATAACATAACATAACACAAGACTTAGAAATACATAATATGATTAAAAATAAGCATAATTCATTCTGCCAATAAAGCATGGAAAAATATTACTTACAGTCAACACTGACTGAGATGGGAGCTTTACCTGTATCTATTGTAAGAAGTATCTGAAGCATGTGTGCCATCGTGATCAAATGGAAGAGGTAAAGGTGGTTATATGAAGCACTAACTGCTGAAGGCTGCAGATCAACGGTGTCATCCCAATACAGGGATGGGAATGCTAATACAGCACCTACCTATGAAAGGAAAATGGACACCAACAGGATAACTAACCACGAAAGGCCAAGACAAATTAATCTCCTAACTAAATGTAAAGGGTACCAAATGATTTTTTTTTAAATAATCACCATATTTTCCCTAGTTATACTCAACAGAGTATCTTAGACTATAATTATAATGTACCATAAATGATAGGTAAAGGCCATCACCAAACAGCATCCCTTAGCTGAGTCTACTTATTGTGGGCATAGGGAGTAGTTCTCTACTGTGTGATTCTGAAGATTCTTTAAAAAAACACTGACACACACCTCATTGCAATCCAACAAAAGCAGACTCTGAGGCAAGGTCCAATTGTTAGCCTTCCTTTGAAGACTCCCCAGGGGACCCAAAAGAGAGTTGGGGGGATAGCTACTGAGTACATACCTGGATCATAAGGTACAAATGGCAGTTTGGGGTGGCTAACCCAACACCCACAAAACCCATGTTTTTAAACCTTACCACTGTTTTCTTATTAGGACAGGGTTAAAATAATAAGATGATTGCAAAAATAGAAAAGTTCAACATAAAACTCATAAGAGTTGCCACCTCTCCACAGGTGTTTTATGGAAACGACCATGTACTTACGGTCTGGTCTCTATCACTAAATAATTAATGATTATATTTAATTTATAGCTTACATGATAATTCATTGCATATGATATAAACAAGTTAGAAAAAGGAAGTGGGGAGGAACCATAACAGAATCAGAAAAAGTTTTTTATACATGTATTAACAAATATAACCAACTATAAGACCAATTACAAATTAAAAAAATAAATGTGCTTTTATCTTAAAAGTACTTTTGCCTCAATGAAATCTGTATTTGTAAAAAGAATGGAAAAGCACCAAAGTTTAACAGTTTGGACATAAAAAATGTATTATTTTTACAGAATGTATAAATTTAAATAAGAAAAATCATGAAATTATAAACCTGGTGACTTCAAAATCATTTTACTGGACACTTACCAGAACATGAAATAGATCTACAGATAGAAGGTATGGTGTATCCTCTGATTGTAGGTTAGGAAGAACAACTAAAACAAAAGGGAATGTAATTCAGTCAGTGAGGCAGTAACGTGCTTGAATAAAATGCAAACTGGAAGCATTAAATGAAAATACAATGGGGCTAGAGAACAAGAAACTAGTATCACACTTTTAAGATATGGTTGACATAATGAGAAGAAAACTTAACAGTAAAAGGCACTAGAAAGTCTTACACAGCTTAAGAGTTGAAAGGTCAGACTTAGGAGAGGCCAGGCAGTGGTGATGCACCCATATGATCCCAGCACTCGGGAGGCAGAAGCAGGTATATCTCTGTGAGTCCAAGGCCAGCCTGGTCTACAGAGTGAGTTCCAAAACATCCAGTGCTAACCAGAAAAACCCTGACTCAAAAGACCAAAGACAAACAAAACTTAGGAGAAAAACTGAAATAGAGATTGCTCAAGAAATATTTGCTAGAAACAAGGGTACATACTGACCATGTGTGAGGCTCAGGTTCACTCCCTAGCAGCCTCCACGTTCCACTTTTGAAATGCTGAATGAATGACCTGCTTTGTGTACAAGCAACTGAAGCCAGTGTGTTATGTATGTTATGCTAGAGCTAACTAACTTCTGCCCCAGAAGAATAGCTTTTATAAAAATATTCCCTCTATCACTTTTCCACCAACTGAACATTCCTAAATGTTCTGTACGTGAACAGATTTAGGATGGTGAGCAGAGAGAGCTTGCAAAGGAACTGATGACATAGAAAACCTTCCTGGGGGGCTAGAGAGATGGCTCAGTGGTTAAGAGCAAAGGCTGCTCTTCCAGAGAACTTGAGCTCAATTTCCAGTACCCATATGGCAGCTCACAACTGTCTGTAATTTCAGTTCCAGGGGATCTGATCCTCTCATATAGACATATACATAGGCAAAATACCAATGCACACACAAAAAAAAAATAAATATAGTTAGATAGACAGACAGACAGATAGGTAAATAGATTGAAAAATGGGGAGAAAATGAAAAGAAAACTTTCCTATACAAAATTAGATTATATGGATTATATTGGGAGGAAGTATAGACTTTTAATGAAAATACTTCCTGCTCTCAAAGAGAGTGGAACTTTAACTGGACCTTACAACCAAGTTAATAATATACCTTGGACTCACTTAGGACTTGGCTTAATATCATGCCTATTTAGTCTGTCTTTAAGAGAACAATGTAACAACCAACCTTACTGGCCTTAGATTTCCCCTGTATTCAGCTTTTACAACTAAAGCTAATGCATTTTGTAATTTTCATGTCTCTGACCTACAGAGCAATACAAGTGTATAAATATGTGTTATGGTAAGCTTTGAAAGCAACAAACAGGTTGAAAGTGACCTATACAACAAATATCCACCATAAATGTTGAAAACAGCATGAGGCCATTGCTTAATAACAATATATTCGTAGTACTGAGTGCTTTGGGGCTGTCTGGAATCAGTTGGGGGTAAACATCTCTCGTAAAATTCTGTATTAAAAGATGTAAAATATCCCTTATTCATTTCCCATGTCCTGTTTTCTGTGCTGTTCAACAAATACAAAACAAAGCCCTTTATTAGGAACAGGGCATATAGTAAGCAAAACAGACATTAGGTAGGCACAGACAGGTAACTAAGGCAATTATAAAATCTAACAGGTGTCTGTGTCTTTTGTGCTAGCAGGTTAAATCATACCACCGTGATAATCTTAGGGCAATGATAAATATTATTTAGCCCAAAACAAATTTTTTATTGCAACAACACAGTCTTAACCATTGAGCCATCTCTCCAGCTCCAATACAGCTATTACTTTTAAAACTAAGGGAGAAGAGATTCTCCTCTTTCTTTTTATTCTCCCCTGACCCCCACCCAAGACAGGCTTTCTCTGTGTCCTGGCTGTCCTGGAACTCACTCTGTAGACCAGGCTATCTTTGACTTCACAGAGATCTGTCTGCCTCTGCCTAACGAGTGCTGGGGTTACAGACTCGTGCTACCACCCAGCTGATGTTAATTTCTTTTTTTTTTAAATTTTTTTCTGTGTTTTCTTTTTTTTTTTTTTTTTAAGATTTATTTATTATATATACAATGTTCTGTCTGCATGTACACCTGCACACCAGAAGAGGACACCAGATCTCTTTATAGATGGTTGGGAGCTACCATGTGGTTGCTGGGAATTGAACTCAAGACCTCTGGAAGAGCAGCCAGTGATCTTAACTTCTGAGCCATCCCTCCAGCCCTGACATTAATTTCTTAACCTCAATTCCAATATTCTAAGGAAGAAGCATAAATATTAAGATCATGATTTTTGGACAAGACTGGGGTTCCAGTGCTGACTATTTGTCACAGGGAAGCAGCTTAACTTCTCTAAGTCTATAGATTGCTGAGGAGTTCACTGACACAGACTTCTAAAGAACTTATCCTAGGTGTGGCATATAATAACCAGTAAGTGTCATTTATTATTCTCTGCCTTACAATGATCATCGGGTTCTGCACTAACAAGCTGAGTGTCCTTGACAAGCTATTTGGTATTTCCAGGTCTCTTTTCTGTGTTAGCATCTCCAGCAGTGGTGGCACACCCCGTTGGTGATCATGCCCAGTCCTCACGCTGCTGCGCAAGCATTCCACCAGTTAGCTACATCCCCAGTTCTTGTCTCTTACTGGTTTATGACCATGGACATAAATGGGAGGATGATTTTCTCAAAAACGGTGGTTACTTATTTAATTATTTACTTGTGTGTATGCACACATTTATGCAAGTACCCACTGAGGTCAGAAAAGAGCATCAGATTCCTTGGAGCTAGAATTATAAGAACCTGGGAGGCACCTGGGAAGGAATCTCTAGTTTTGAAACAGCAGGAAGTGATCTTAGAAGCTAGTTCTCTAGTCCCTAAAGATGATGTCAAAAAGAAATGAAATTATAAAATAAGATCACAGCACAGTATCAGTTAGCAACGAATAGTTTGTTTTACACAGATTCGATCTATTAAAAATGATATTCAGGCTGGGGCAATGGCTCAGTCAATATAGCGCTTGCCTCCGAGCATGAGACCCAAGTCTGTGAGAAGAATGCTGGCCTTAGCAGCAAGCACTTGTAACTCTGTCACAAGAGAAGAGAGTTCGTGAGGCTTACTGGCCAGTCCGTCTAGCTTAACTGATGAGCTTCAGACAAATGAGAGACCATGACTCAAAGGGCACAACATTCTATGGTTGTTGTCTGATATCTACACATACATTTCAAAAATAATATCACTTTACAAAAATAGAGGTCTCTAGAATTCCGTATTTCTCTCATACTTCTGTCAATCATTTCTGTTCAAACCTTGCCCTTACACAATCCAACCAGATTCCCTCCTTAATTCTGCTGTTGCATCCACATGCAAGGGCTTCCTCTAATTTTTACTTCCTCCTATGTATATGCAATTAGTTCCAGAACATCATTACCTAAAACTTCTCAAACATTCCCAATTACCTAAAAGAGAAAAGACCCTGTATTATGGGGCCTTCAAGATGGTTCAGTCTAGCAAAGTACTTGCCACACAGGCAGCGTGGGCCCCAGAATTAAAAGCCAAGTGGGGTTTTACTGGCATATGTTACCCCGATGGTGAGGAGGTGGAGATAGGTGGATCACTGGGACTTGCTGGGCAGCCAGCTTAGCCTATGTGGCAAGTGCCAGGCCATCAGTAGACCCTGACTTAAAAACATTAAAAAAAAAAAAAATGTAGAGAGGGCCTGAGAAAGGACATCCCCTAAAGTTGTCCTCTAGCCTCCACACTTCTGTGCACACTTCTCTCCCCATTCCTTACAAGCACCAGCACATATATGGACACACACATGTCACACACATACACATAAAACAAAGAAACAAAAAGCCTAAGCAATAAGCCAGGCATGGGTGTACATGCCTATAACCCTAGCACTAAGAAAGCAGAGGCTGAGGACCAGGGTTCAAAACAAAACCATAAAATAATATCACATTATTATCAGCACACCTAAAACCCAGGAAAGCAAGGAACAAAGCCCTGCAGGTGAGTCACTGTGAAGCAAACACTGCTATTCTCAGAAGTTACTTTCTTAAGCTGATAAAGAAATAAAAACATTTCAAGACACAAATTCAAACAGGGCCACTACATATTAATACAGGTAAGAGTTTATAAAAAAGAAGTAATGAGTATAAACTATAGTTTGTTTGTTTATATATTGCATATCAAGACAGGGTTTCTCTGCTTAACAGCCCTGGCTGTCCTAGAACTTGCTTTGTAGACCAGGCTGGCCTCAAATTAACAGAAATCCACCTGCCTCTGCCTTCCGAGTGCTGGGATTAAAGCTGTGTGCTACCACACCCAGCTCCCAGAGCATACATTTTTAAAATATTGCAATCATTATGGGGTAGTTGCATATCAGTTGGCAAGTCTGCTGCAGGCAGCTGGATTTCATCAGTGAATCTTCAAAATTAGCACAGTATGTCATTTCCTAACTTAAATATACTGCCATAAATGCAGAAGAAAATACATATAAATACTCACATAACAATTAAAAGTCCTTACCTGAAAGGAGTCGAACCAGATGTTTCTGTATCAGGACCTGAGAGCAGGTAGTCCTCTGTGCAACTGCAAACTGCATTAATGCTCTCAGACCATTGTGCTAGATTGTAGGAGAGGTAGGATAAAATACGGGAAGATGACAATTAGGTCAGGATGATAAGTCACCAATCCTAGCCGAGTATATACTTTACCAATTACAATATTCTTTCTTTCTTTCTTTTTTTATTTTTGGAGATAGAGTCTATCTATCTATGTATTCTTGGCTGGCCTTGAACTGAGAGATCCTTCTGTCTCCTTTTCCCAAGTGCTGGAAGTAAAGGACAGCACCACCACACCCAGCTACAATATTTTTAGAACATAAAAAATGTTTTATATCATTATATTTCTGATTTTTCCATTAAAAAGAAATGTTAGTCAGGCTGGTGAGATGGCTCAGCAGTACACTACCCATTCTTTCAAAGGTCCCGAGTTCAATTTCAGGCAACCAACCACATGGTGGCTCACAACCACCTATAAAGGGATCTGATGCCCTCTTCTGGCATGCAAGTGTACATGTAGACAGAGCACACCAACATTTAAAAATAAATAAATGAGCAAAAAATCTAAAAATTAGAAATGTTAGTCATGATCATGTCAGTTCTCAGTTTTGTTCTGTTTTCCAGATTCAATATTCTTAAGTAATTAATTAATTTTATTAATTAATTATTTGGTGTTTGGCCTACATGTATGTCTGTGTGAGGATGTCAGATCTTAGAATTACAGACAGCTCTGAGCTGCCATGTGGGTGCTTGGAACTGAACTTAGGTTTTCTGGAAGAGCAAGCAGTGCTCTCAACCACTGGACCATCTCTCTAGTCCCCCAGATTCAATTTTTTAAACATGGGGCTTAATTAGTCTGTTGATTTGTGTGCAAACTGTATTTCTAGAAATTCTAAAATGATGATAGTTAAGAACACACAGAACTGAAATACACCTTCTTTCCAGGAGCAGGATGGGAACTACAGGGAGACAGTGTGGACTTTGAGTTTCTTTTACCCCATGTCAGAAAATGAGAAGGGAAATGTCTAACAAGGCAATGGTCTAGGGAGCCTCTGCAGGTGCTCATTTTGTTCTCATGGCGCTACTGAGCACACATTTGTAAAAACAAAACAAAATAAGAACATAACTACCTAGGAGCATTTCATGATTCTTTGGGGCTATGGGCAAGAATGACTGAAGACACAGGCAAGAATTATTATTATTATTACGTTATTATTATTGGTGCTGAGAATTTAATCAAGGGCCTCATGTACGCTAGGCCAATGCAAAACACGTTTCTTGAATACTTACTGGTTACCAGGTTTTTCTATGAAAAAAATTATTTTGTGTGTATGCACACACTTGCATGGAAGTCAGAGACAACTTGCAGAAGTAGGTTCTTTCCTTCTATGTGTGTCCCAGAGACTGAACTCAGATAGTCAAGCTTAGTGGCAAGTGCATTTACCCACTGAACATTTCACAGACCCCCATGGTTGCCTCCTCCCCCTTTTTTTTTTTGGTGTGTGTACACTTGCTGGTTATTTGGGTTAACCTGACACAAGCTAGGGTCATTTGGGAAGAGGAAACCTAAATTAAAAAAATGTCCCCACTAAATTAACTTGTAGGTGGTGCCACCCCTGGGCAGGTGGTCCTGAGGTATGTAAGAAAGCAAGCTAAACAAGCTGGGGGTAGTAAGCCAGTAAGCAATGATCCTCCAGTCTCTGCTAAGCTCCAGGCCTCTACCTTGAGCTCTTGCCCTGACTTCCTTTCCTGATGGACTGCAACTCTAAGCTGACATAAACCCTTTCCTCTCCAAGTAGCTGTTTGTCATGATGTTTTCTTACAGCAATAGAAACCTAATAAACACAGTGTGTGTATGTTGTAGCACATATAGAGGTCAGGAACAACTTGGGTGAATTTGTTCTCTCCTTCTACCATGTATACCCTGGGGATCAAACTCAGTTTGTTAGGTGTGGTGGCAAGTGTCTTTACCCATCGAGCCATCTACCCTGCCCTGGGTGTCATTAACTCAGTATGATTATCTCTCAAGGGCAGAACCCATCAATATTTGGTGTTATATGGTGAAGCACCAGTGAGAAGAAAATACAGGATGTGTCTGGTTTTAGGCAATATGGAGGAGGGCAGGAAAGTAGTCAGGTTACCTGAAATCCATGTGTTATTTTAACTACTGAAATTGAGAAAGTTCTGTAATGCACATAGCACTAACCACGTTTCCTAAAACTGCAGAATGCCGCACAAACTACGTCCTGATTTTATTAACAGAAGAGGGAGTATAGATGTTTCAGTGATAAATAAGCTATGGAATCCCCTCTCTAAAAAAAGTATCCCAGAAACTACTGAAATCTATTTGAATATACATACCTGCCTATTTTGAAGTGCTCCAAATAAAGGTTTTCCTTCATCTCCCAACAAGTTTTCTTAAAAAAATAAAATAAAAAATAAAATAAAAAAATAATTACACAATTATATGTTTTAACTGTGCGTTTGTTTTACTTTGTTGTTGTTTTTTAAGAGAGGGTTTCACTATGCAGCCCATGCTGACCTTAACCTGAGTAAATACATAACTGCATTATTCTATACTCATGCTTTAAGTAACAGGTTTGTGAGTGCCTCCTAAACTCTGTCCTGAGACTAAAGCAAGAAAGTTTTAGAGAAGAAAGTCTATGCATGTTACTCAATCTAAACTGTGACATAGAATATTGTTACAAAGAGGGACCCAGTAATGAAAATGTAGTATACTTCATTAAAAACTGTGACCAAAAAACTGTACTGAAGAAGAAAACTCCAGACTGATTTGGATAAACATGATATGAAAGAGACACACTATCTTGTATGTAACACCACGCCAACTTACAAACGTCAGTGCTTCTTGCCTACTTTGTCTTTCTCTGGGAAACCTTCAACATGGTGAAACATTTGTCAAGTTTTCACTCAGACCTAGTTTTGCCAATCTGTCTTTCCTGACCACCTCACCCTGCTTCCAGGAAATTTTGTTTGTTTGTGACTCTGATTCTATTTTCTTTTTCTTTCAAAATATACAACATTCCTGTAAAATACTGAGTAGATCTTCTTCATTTATATTTGCTATTGATCTAGTGTCGTAAGTCTGCCACTGTTTGACTGCAGCTTCATGCTATCCTTCAAGATACTAACGCGTCATGCAAGACTATACGGCAGGTGAAAAAGATATAAATATTAAAACATGTCAGGCCACCGAAGTATACTGGAATACTAGCAAGTGCTAAAATACAGTAAACTCTTCCAAGTCAACATAGGGGAAAAACATGTCTGGTCAACCGATGTGAATTCTGCCTCACTGAGACTTCCAAAGCATCTTTCTCTTCATTTTATAACTAGGCTTACCGATGGCCTGGATGGTGAAAGCACATGTGCCCCAGGTCATCATGGGCACTCGTGGGTCTAGTTCGTCGGGAGGCACTTTTAGTCCAATTCTGTAAATTGTTGTGGCAAAGAGAATGACCATTTCCTTGATACTATTTGAATACTTCACTCTAAAAATAAAACAAAAAGAAAATCTTGCAGTATTTTGGAAAACAGGGCTGCTTTCTTAAAAACCTTGTTAGGTCAGAAAGCAGCAGAAACAATTCCTTTTGATATCAAGTGCGTCAGTGACTTTGGTCACTGCTGTGGCCAAATACCTGACAAAAAGCTCCTACGGAAGGAGCCAGGCTTACGACGTCAAGAGCTACATCACGGAGGGAGGGCATACTGGAGGAGGCAGCTCACAGAGCAGTGAAGGAGCGTGAAGCTGGCTGTCCACATACGGGGGACATGGCTGCCTTTCTCCCTTTTCCCTGTTTTTTTAGTACAGTCACTCAGCCCTGGCTGCTAATGTCAACACCCAATGTGGTCTCCCCCCGTCAATCCTCTGAAGAAGGCCCTCACTGGGGTGGAGGTTAAGAGCACGGCCACCCTACCAGAGGACCCCAATTTGAATCCCAGCACCCACATGGAGGCTGACAACACTCATACATATAAAATAAAAATAAATCTTAAGGGGCTGGAAAGATGGCTCAGTGGTTAAGAGCGCTGGCTGTTCTTCCAGAGGACCCTGGTTCAATCCCCAGCACCCACATGGCAGCTCACAGCTGTCTGTAAACCCCTGTTTCAGGGCATCTGACGCTCTCACACAGACATGCATGCAGGCAGAACACTAATATACATAAAATAAAAATAAATTATTAAAAAATAAATCATTAAAAAAGCCCACAGACAGACCCATGTGTATCTCATTAGTGTCGTGGGTGTTTCTTAATCCAATTTAGTTGACTATCAAATTAAACATCAATATGAATAAAGTATTCTTTGGCAAACTAGAGGTTAGAGCTTTTATAGACTTCAGTAAGAAAAAAATAAGGAAATCCAAACTGTTCTTTCTAAAGGTAGAAAAATCTCTTATAAAGTAGCAATGCCCATATAACTGTGCAGCAAAAGATGCAGTAAATAAGCACATCTGGAAAGGTCCAGGTGTGAACTAAGGGACAGACTGAAGAGAAAGAATACATTTCTGAGGAAGGTCTCAATTCTTTGGTATTCTGAAAAGTATAGAAAGTATTTCTGCATTGACAGTGTGTGTGTGCACATTCATGCTGCAAATATGAATGACAGGTAACACCAACAAGCACTTTTTGGCTTTCCAAATTTTTACTTTTAACAAGTATTTAAACAGCAATAAGACGGGCAATATGAAAAAGGATCGTTAGTAGACAAAGTATGAGGTGGTCACACGCACAAAATAATAAACCTATTCTGAGACATTACGTATTTTCAAAGTATCTCTTACACCACTGAGATAGAGCAGGGCACTTCCAACTGTGCATGAGAAACAAGCTGAGGGTAGAGTGGCAGAATTTTTTTTTCCCAGAAAGTCACAGGCAAACTAAATGTGATAGGAAGTGAAGTCTTAAAATTCTGATCCCCTTATAGCTTTGGCTGTTGTTCATTGTCAAAACTGATTACCCAGAAGCAGGGAGCAGGGAGCAGCCTCTTTCCCGTCACTTCAGGTCTGCTGTGGAGCCTGACAGTCTGGGTTTGTTCCCCAGAGAGAACCGATCCCACTGTTGTCCTCTAGCTTCTACCTGAGTGCCATGGTCCCCAGCCCACCAAGTACGCATACATATTTACATATACAAACAGTAATATTTTGCTAAAAAAATCTCAAGTTTCCTCAATCTCAATTTTACTAAGATAAGTAAAACTTTAGGGAGAAAAAAATGGACAACAAGACAGTTTTACAAATAAAGAAAAAGGGAAGAAAAAAAGGGAGGTTAGTTCCAATTTTTATTTGACCTCAAACTCAGAGACCTACTCACCTCTGCCTCCCAAGTGTGACACCCTAACTTCACAAACCCTTTTAACCCTTCAGATACTTACGAAGACTGAACTCCAAAACTCAGGATGGAATGAAACTCAAAAGTAGAATCTCCCATTCCTTGATTAAACAAGACAGGAACTGTTGGAGTTTCTCCTTATAAATTAAATTAAAAAGGGAATAAAAATCATGACTAAGTTTAGTTTGACAATCAACCATTTAGCTGTTTAAACCATATATAATCCCCTCAGAAATGCTAGTGGGTAGTAAATAGCCTAATTTCTCTACCTAGATAACACCGAGGTGACATTCTTTTTACATATAAATGTCACACATACTGGTTTTTTTATTTGCTTTTTCACCTCATAGGCAATGATTATTTTGCCTCATCAGTAACTTTTGTTTATTTCACTTTCTTTTCATTTTAAAAAATGCATTTGTATTTTATTTAGTGTGTATATGCATGTGAGTGTGTTTCTGTTCACATGCACGCACACCAGGTATGTGGCGGGGCCACAGGGCCAGTCCAGAGGGCAGCCTAAAGGACTTGGTTCTCTCCTGCCACCAAGAGAGATCCTCAAGTAAAAGTTTAAAGCAGGATGCATCTGTGGATAGCCCCAGTCATGGAGAGGATGAGGCAGGGGAATTGCTTAAACCCAAGGAGTTGGAGCAAAGCCTGGACAAGATTGCCAGAACCCTTCTTAAACACACAAAATCAAATTATACAAACTGGACACTGCTTTCACTTATTGATTTATAGCCTAATAAAGACTTTTCTTCAACAATTTTGTAAACACATGGTGGGGTATATTTGCGTGCGTGTACCAGTGTGTATACAGCTTATGTATGTGCTTATGTGTGTGTGAGGAGGCAGAGAAGAACATAAAGCACCTGTCTCTACCACTTTCCATCTCACTGAACCTGGGGGTCACCATTTTGGCCATCAGGCTCCTAGGATCCATCTATCACTTTCCCTGCAGCACCCAGCTTTTACATATGTGTCAGGGATCCAAATTCAGATCCTCACGTATTCACGGCAGGCACCCGACTTGCTGACTCATCTCCCTAGCCCCTCTTTAACAAACATTTTAAGTGATCTTTAAATTTTATTTTTCTAAGTGTATTTCCACAGCAATATTTACTACTCAGCTGTAGACATAACAGCTTTAATAATTTTTATTATTAAGACAGAATATTACATAATATTCTGTTTTCCAGTATGAAAAATGATTGAACTGGGTAAACTGACAGCCAACAAGTGTTGGATTCAAATCTCTATTTCCTGATATCCAACAAATCTGTATTTTCAAACCACATTTTAGCACAACAATTACTTGTAAAAAAAAAAAAAAACAAAAAAAACCCAAAACCCTGAAGATTTAGGGGACTATAGTGATGCTCCATGGCTGAGAGAACTGGCTGCTTTCCCAGAGGGCCTAGCTCATAACGGTCTGCAATTTCAATTCTAGAGAGCCAATGTCTCTTCTGGACTCTGAGGGCACTAGACTCGTAAGTATTTCGCAGACATACGTGTGGGCAAAACACTCATAAACATAAAATTTTAAAAAAAGTTAAATATTTAGAAACAATTTTCACATATCTAGTACAAATAGATTTCCACAAACCTTTAGCATGCTTCATTTTATAACCTGATATTCTGGCAAGAACAGTCTGTATCCACCGTGCCAAGGTCAAAAGTTGAGCAAGAGCCTCTGCATTTTCACTACAAAAAAAATGGCATTTAGGAATGATCAATTCAATTGGTACAAAGTCATTCTACGGGCTACACTTGTGGAGTCTTTCATTGAATAAATGGATATACTAAAAACATCAGCAAGAGTGGTGGTGGCGCACACCTTTGATCCCAGCACTTGGAAGGCAGAGGCAGGTAGATCTCTGTGAGTTCTAGGACAACCAGAGATAAATAGTAAGACCTCATTTCAAAATAAATAAATAAAAATATCAAGTTCCTTCATTTTATTAACATTCTAGTTCATGGAAATGTGACTAAAAAATGTAATTGGTACAATGACTAAGACATAAGCATGCATCTATGACTGAGAAGTAATAAAATACCAGAAAATAAAAAATACCACCATGGTTACTCATCAACAACTAGGTGTTGTCACTTCATCCTATTCCTGAATATTCAATCTACAGGTTTCAGGTTCTAACATACCCCAAGTTGATCACTTCTTTCTACCTCTACCCACTACCCTCCTGAAAGACCTACCATCCCTCACATGAACTATTTTCTTTTCCCTTTTACTTTTTTGCTTTGACTACTTAGGATTTTAGAGACACAGTCTCTCTCTCTCTCTGTAGCCCTGGCTGTTCTGGATCTCACTCACTATATAGACCAGGCTGGCCTTGAATTCCCAGAGGAGTTCTGCCTCTGCCTGCCTCTGCCTCATAAATGTTAGTATTAAAGGTGTTTGGGAGCCTTCTGCTTATGTTTCTATTTGATTTTTTAAGTATGAATTTACCATATAACAACCAGAAGGATCTTCTAAAACTATTAATTGCATTCCATTATCCCTCTGCTCAAAACAGACCAGTGGTTTTCTGCTGTATATAAAATTAAACAAGTCTAACCTTTTGTGTCAGCCTCCTATGATTTGGCTCTTTACTACTCCCATCTGGGCATGCTACCTTTTTGCTATGCCTAGAACATGGTGATTATGTTAGTACCTTGGGGCCTTTGCTTTTGTTTATCTCTTGTAAATCTATCTTTCTCTGGAGAAAAGCAGCTGCTTACCATCACTCACATCTCTACAAAGTCATCATCTCAGAGACAAGCTGTCTGTCTGTAATGTCGGGCACTGGCTAGCCTCGAGTGTTTCCTTGGTATTTCTTGTGGCTCAGCAGCTCATACTAGATTACCGTAAGCCTCTCCTTCACGGAATATACACTCTATAAAATAACAATTCATTGAAAGGACAATCTTCTGTTGTTATTGTTTTATGATTTATTCCAGTTGGTCAGTAATGACATACTCCTTTAATCCCAGCGCTTGGGAGGCAGAGGCAAGCAGGTCTCTATGAGTCCAAGGCCAACCTGATCTACAGAGCAATATCCAGAACAGCCACGGCTACATAGAGAAACACGGTCTCAAAAAACCGAACAACAACAAAAGATATAGTTATTTATGCATATGAGTATTTTGTCCTCATGTACATCTGTACCCCAGAAGAGGGCACTAGATCCCCTGGGATTATAGTTACAGCTGGTTATAAGCTGCTACATGGATACTGGGAACTGAACATATGATCTAGCCAGTGCTCTTAATCACTGAACTATCTCTCCAACCCCTTTTGATTCTCAAAAGTGAAAGTATATTATGATTGGTTATGACTTAAAAAATAATTAACATGAGTTTTAGAAAAAAAAAAAAACAACCTTGTGTTTATATGAGGCGTGTGAATGTGTAAATGTAGGTGTGTACAAGCTACAGTACATGTGCAGACATCAGAAGAGCACCTTCAGTACTGGTCGTGCCTACTAATTTGTTTGAGATGATCTCTTTGCTGTTTGCTGATATGCACACCGACTAGCTGGCCCACAAGCTTCCAGAGTTTCCCATCTCAGTTTCCTATCTCCACATAGGAGGAATGGGGAGATAGACAACTGCTACAAAGACTAGCTTTTACATGAGTTCTAGAGAGCTGAACTCTGGTCCTTCTACTTGCACAGTAAGCATTTTAACCAACTGAAGCATCTCCCTGGAGCAGTTTTGGAGTTTTGGTAAATTTACTGTATAATATTTTATATCAGAATGGTCGTTTGGGGGCTGGAGAGCACACAGTGTTCTTGCAGAGGCACGAGTGCAGTTCTCAGCACCTACCGCCCACAGCTGCCTGTAACACCAGCTCCGGGGAACATGGCACATAATCCTCTTCTGGTCATTGAAGGCAAGTTAACTCATATATGCACATTCTCCCCCCCTGTACGTACATACATACATACATATATATGATTGAAAATAAAAACAAATCACATATATATACACAGAGCTTAGTAAAGAAAGTCAAGGAAATAAGGTGCTGAGCATTTCTTTAAAAGTTCAGAGAGCAATTAGATGTTTAAGTACCTTTATTTGTTTTGGAGAATCACCTGGTAAAAAAAAGCTTATGTAAGCTAACAAGAAGCTGGCATGGTGATATATGCTTGTAATCCTAGCACTCAGGAAGCTGAGAGAAGAGGATCATGAGCTAAAGGTAGCTTAAACTCCACATCAAAGACTTGTCTCAAAAAACCAAAACCAAACAAACACTTTTCCCCATCTTCAGAAGTTAGAAGTGAGGTCTGGGTTCAAATTCTAAACTTCTCTTGGAATAAGCAAAAACCACTCAGTTGCTATCCAATTCTTTATGTTTAAATGGAAACAATAGTACTAACTTCAGTAGACAACTGTGAGAATTAAATAAGACACGGCAAGTTCATGGTGCATTGTCTAAAGTTTATCAATTATTCAATAAATGAAGGGCAATTCTTTCTCATACTTCCTTGTTGGTATACGGTAGAATTCCATGTCCAAGTATAATGAATGAGAAAGTTCCAAACTGGGTTTTCCAATGACATGGAAGAGTAGAGCTAGGCAATTCCCTCTTGACTGCTGGCCACTCTCACACACTCCGTTGTGATGACATAGTAAACTCATGCTGGTGTTCTGTGGTACTGTGCCTCGCACATGCCACAGAGTGATACTATCTCTAGCAAAAGGTACTTTTTGAAATTAGTAAAACCATTTTCATTGGTGGAACAGAATCATCCTTTAAAACTTAACTGATTTTTAAACAAATCAAAGAATTAAATTTTGTTTATTCTGAGACAGGGTTAACCTGTAACTTGCTATGTAGCCCAGGCTAGTCTCAAACTCAGAAATATTCCTGCCTCAGCCTCCTGAGTACTGAAATTAAAGGTATGCACCACCATGCCTGACTAAGACAGCAATTTTGTTATCATCAAGAAGAACAGTAAGAATACGAAAATATATAATGAAATGATCTAATTATTAAAAACTAGTGAATTCTGTTGAATTGCAATAACAGACTGTCAGAATATAAAACATGTTAAATGCTCACAAATTATTCAAAGATTTGATAAATGTAATGCTTGTATTTACTTTTATCATTAACTTTGTGCACAGCTCTCCAATAGGATTTGTATCTTTGGGGTTGACCGCTTCAATGGCGGGTGGAAAGCATCTGTACAACACACTGCTTGAACAAATGAACATCCTGCTTCTCTTCAACACCCAAAACTGGGCCTTTAATCTCATTTGGAAGCATGATGCAAGCTTTGGAATGAGAACGGTATTAATCCCCATAAGGAGTAAAAAGGAAGGCAGTAATCTGGCAAAAAGCAAGTTAAAGCTTCAAGGACAGTTTGAAAGCAAGTACCTGAACAAAGGTTAAAAACGTACCTGCTGATCTTCTGAGGTTGCAGAGGGATGATGGGGATGACAGTGTTGCAAAGAGACTTGCAGAGCGGGCACAGGTATTCTCCACTCTCCAAGTCAAACAGGTCAACATGAATGCGCTGCTGAGAGCTAAGCTGCACAGCTTCAAAATACCTGCAAAATTCAAGGATGCAGGTCCACTTAGAACAACTCAGGTAGCTTTGATCTATTCTGAGTAAAACAGGTCTAGAACTTTGGACTTAATAAATATCTTTAGAACATATAAGCAAAAACACATGTTGTAATTATGAAAGAGACAGACAACCCATTTAGGGTGTGAATAAACTGGAAAATACATTACAGCAGATAGAAATCTCAATTACTTTGTTAAATCCTAATTTTTCCTCTGCCTAAACAGCAAGTGGGCATAACTACAGACTCCCAGTGATCAACTACAGCACTGAGGGCTTTCGATGGAAAATTATGTTTCTAATCTGATGGCAAATGAGTAAGCTATACAAAAGATTTATCAGAAATTACATATTTGAAACTTTTATCTTTTCTCAAGATAAAATCATAATTTGTCATATTGCATATATATATATATTTAAATACAGGCTTCTCTGTGTAGCTCTGGCTGTCCTGACTCTGGCTCTATAGATCAGGCCTTGAACTCTACTGCCTCTCCCTCCCCAGTGCTGGGATTAAAGGTCTACTGCCTCTCCCTCCCCAGTGCTGGGATTAAAGGTGGGCACCACCATGCCTGGCTGCAAAGATATCTTTTACTAACTACATATTTTAAGTTTTTTTTTTTAAATAAAGATTACTGCTTCTCTCACATGACTAGTAACAAGCAGTGTTAATTAATACTATTTAGTTTGCAAGAAGTAAGTGTATTTTCAGTGCTAGGGACTGAGTGAGGGCAGCACATCATGCATGTTAGTACAATGCTATATTACCATACTATACTCCTAACTCCTAAAAATAGTAAGCTGGGAACTTTCTAAAGGTTACAATATATAGAAATATAATTAGTATCATGAGAACAGGATTAGTAATTAAAATTGCCTTAGTTATTCTAGTAAGAAAAACAGAAAGACATGAGAAAACATGTTTTTTGTTTTTTTTTTGTGGCATGTGGTGAATGTCAATATTCCTAGTCTTTTTCAAGAACACATCAGGGGGCAACTTACTTTTGCCAGCACACTGCATGCATTACATGACCACAGCTTCCTGTATAAGTTCCATGTGCCAAGTCTGGATCCATGAAAAGAGGGTCCAGCATTTCTGGTTCAGAAAGATATAAATAAGAAGTATGTACTTATGTTTTCTAAAGTGTTAAGGGGTTGGGAGTGGAGAAAGTTTTCAGGTCTAAAATGCTAGTCACAAAGTTTTATTTCTTAGGAATGTCCAGGGATAACAATACGACAGCAGTATATACGTTCCTAATAGTAAGAAGAGGAAAGAAGCAAGGCCAACAGGTTAGATTCTGAATTCTGTATGGATTAACAACTCTACAGTCATTTACACTGTAATTCTGAACAGTAGGTACAAGCTGTATTATACTGGTGGTTGAAATGCTTTCCTATTCTTTAAGAACAAATCTGCTCTTATAATTTTAAAGAATAATTTGAATACACAACAACTTATAAAAAAGATTTATTTTAATATGAGTGTTTGCCTGCCTATATGTGCACCACGTATGTACTTGGTGCCCAAAGAGGCTAGAAAAGGGCACTGATCTCCACAACTAGAGTTGCAGACAGCTGTGAGCCGCCATGCAGAACCCAGGTCCTCTGCAAAGGCAGCAAGTGCTCTTAACTACTGAGCCATCTCTCTAGCCACTATAAATGACAACTTTAAAAGGGGAAAACCCCACATTTTTGAGCATAAACTTCAAATTATGATATCACTGCACCACTCACGGCCTAAGGCCAGTTAACACCTCTTTGCTTTACTCCCTCATGTATACGATGGCATCTAATGCACAAGGTTGTTGTGAGGATGGAGTAAGCAAATACATAGCATTTAGCCAGTGACTAAAACATGCTAAATATTAATAAATGTTAGTTTATTATCATCATCACTTCAAGGGAATGTAAAATATAAAGCGGCTACTTCTGATAAGTATGTGTTACCTAATTAATACTTGATGCAGTAAATGTTTAATATAAATCTAATCATAAGGCACAGAGATAGATTTACGATGTGAGACACTGGATAAAATTATTAGTCTGCATTCATCAAACCAGTTATTATCTTGAAAAAGGGAGGAAAAGTGATTATTCTCCATTAAAACAACTAAAATAAGCTTTTATTTTGCTTTGTTTCTGAGTTTTGGGAAATGCATTCAGTAATACCTAGGAATGAAGTGTTTTGAAGCTTGCAATCTACTTTCAAATGGTTCAGCAAGATAAAAATAAAGCCAATATTAGATGGATTGAGCAACATGACCAAGGACTAACAAAAATCAAAACAACGACAAAAATAATAAAGTCAAGTAGCCAATGTAGCATGTAAGAACCTAATCTATTTCACATGTGGATATGAGATCTACCAAACAGGACTTACATAAAACCTCACTCAGGATTTATATAACCCTCTTTCAAAGCTTATTTCATTCTAATTACACAGGCAGGAAAAGGAATGGCTGAAACTACATTAATTGTGATGCATACCTGCTAAGAGGTCTATGGGTTTCCCCCTGTGCTGGGTTAAGGCAGTGGACTTCTGCACACAGGCTGATAATACCATGGCATTGTTTTCTAGTTTCACCTCTTGCTCTTCTTGGCAGAGGATGCATGTCAGCACCTCCTTTTCAGTAACAGCTGGACCCCGTTTAGGCCCCAAAGCAACTCTAGAGTGGTCGCTGACCGCTGGGGGGCTGCTGAAAGAAACAGCCAGAAGTAAGGGTATATGTTTTGGTCACTGTCTTTACAGCTGGGTATATTTTAAGTAAGTAAATATAAATAAAAATTCTATTTGACAATATTACCTTTAAAGTCTATCCTGAACTTTTTGGCTTTAAGCAGTTAATTTTCTAAATAGAAAATTCACTTTAAGTGCACAAAGAAATACACCAGAGGCCACTATATATGTTATGATTCTTTTTAATTTACTTTATCAATGAAAATTGGTATTTGAATGATAAATATGTAGTTCACATATCAGAGAAATTCTGTCAAATAAAGTATTAAGAAGAAGATAAAAGCATTGTATTTTGATGGTGTAAGCACTACTAATCTTATTTCCTCCTAGCTTGCTTTCTACTTACACACGTTTTGAACAAATAACATCATACTATAAACAGAGATTTACTCACTTAAATGTTGCCTTACACATTTATACCTTTGTTATTTTGTCATGAACTAAGATTTACTCAGAAACATTTGAAATAGCTGCCTAGAGGTACTCTTGCTACTGTACCATAATACTTTTGTCCAGTCCCTTTCATTATGCCTTTATGCTTCTGTTATCTATTTTAGTAGAAATTAAAACTATAAAAACTTAAGCCTTAATAAATTTTAATGATATAGCAACACTTACTTATGATCTATAATATACCTAATACTAAGATACAAATAAAAGTGAGTACTTATAATGGTTTATGATACTAGGCACTGTTTCACATTTTTTTTCACTTAATCCTTACAATAAAACATGACGTAGGTATTATAATTACCTCCATTTTTCCAGAGGGAGAAACTGAGGCCTAGAGATACTAAGAGACAGATCTTGAAACTTATCATTAATAGGTAGTAAGACCAAGATTTAACTAACCCAAGTGACCTGGCCTCAGAGGTCACATTCTGGACCATTCTACAAAACTATACAAGAAGCTCCCTGAAATATGGTGAATTATCCAATGAAATATAAATAACTCAAATACCCATCAGTGTAAGTGAACTAACGTAATATAGAACATTACACAATTTTCAAAGGGTACTGCTCAGTAGTAACATATGGCCCCACATCCTTAGAGATATAATAAATATATAACATTTATGCAAACAAAACAAAAGGCTGAATAACAAAAACACATGATTTTGTGATTACATATATTTGCATGTAATAGTATAATAAAATTTCTGACACATACACATAAAACATTTTTGTTTTTGAGACAAACTCTCACTATGTGCAGCTTTAGTCTCCAACTCACTGTAGCTTAGACTAGCCTTGACCTTTCAACCTTTTTTTTAAACCTCTTGAATGCAGAGCTATATACATAAAACTTATAACCACAGAAGGCAGGATTTGGTTAAATACCCAAAGGGACTTTAGCTTTATCTCTACCATTTGATTTTCAAAATGAAAATATAGCAATATAACTGTAATTAAAATAGTGAACAGAAAAGACATTAAGATAAAAAAACTAAAACTTAAGATACTGAGAAATCTGCCTTCCTCAACAATGAAATTGTCTTTTGCTTTTGAAGTTTTTTATTTGTTGAGACAGTGTTTCATAGGGTTGCACTGATATGAGCCTGATATGTGACTCAGGCTGGCCTTGCACTTGTGGCAATCCCGCCTCTGCCTGCGAGTGCTGGGCTCAGAGGGACCCATGCCTGGCTTCATTGAGAACTTTTTTTTTTTTTTTATGGCAAATGCTTATAGTGTTAAAAAAAAAAAAAAAAGACGGACAAAATATGAGAAATAATCAGGAAGAAAAGAAGGAGCAAAAGCCTCGACAGAAATAGGCAAAAGATAGTAAGGCATTTGGCAAAAGACAAATATAAGAAGTCAGTAACCAACTTTACAAGATTTCATTCTTGCACTCACTAGCAACCAGAAAATGTTTGCTTTTTAGTCTATGGTGCTAGGGATTGAACCTAGGGCCCCATGTCTGCTAAGCAAGCATTCTACCACTGAACTGCACTCATAGCTCATAAATTTTAGTTTGGTGAGAATGAAGCATGTTGATACACTACAAGAAGTAGAAAATGACAGAGTCACCCAGAATGGCAATGTGTAGCATCTGCTAAAATTTTCACCTAGGTAGGCCTGGTAGTGCATACCTTTGATTCCACCGTTAGGGAGACAGAGGCAAGGAGGTCTCCTTGAGTAGGTCAGTCTGCTCTACATAGTGATTCCAGGACAGCCAGGGTTAGTGAGACTCTGTCTCAAAAATAAGTTATTTCTATTATATTAAATTAAAATTTAATTTAGTTTAGATTCTGCCCGGGGAGAACTACTGGCACAACTACAGAAGAAAACACATATGAGAATTATCTGACAGACTTCTGAGGGAAAATAGGAGGCATCTTAGACCCCCAAGTCAGATAAAATAGTACAAATCCACACATGGCCGCCTATACATCCATAAAGAGCAAAAGGATAAGGAAGGGAGGGAGAGACAATGAGTGTGATCAGAATGAATGATAAACATGTATCGAATTATCAAAGAATAAATTAATTTAAAAAAAGAAGAAATGAGGGGATGGAAGTCAAAAGGTACATATTTATAGGTATGCAGAGTGAGCAAGTCTTCCTATTTTATGTATAGTATAAGGAAGATTGCTATATTGTATAGGTATTCAGAATGAACAAATCTATGTATTTTATGTATAGCATAAGGAATAAAGCTGTATTAGGTTCTCTTATCAAAACCAGTAACGGCATAAAGTACTTGCTTGATGAACTAATTATTTCATTGTTTATATGTATAGAAAAACATCACGGCCAGCAAGATGGTTCAGCAGGTAAAATAAAAGTGCTCCCTAACCTGATAACTTGGGTTAATTCCTGGAACCCATGTGATGTAAGGAGTGAAACGGCTCCTACAAGTTGTCTTCTGACCTCCATATGTACACAAAAAAATAAATAAACAAACATGTTGTGTACCTTAAATACTCAGTATAAATGAATACATATGAAAACTTGAAAATCAAAGGAAAAGAATGATGCAGAGTCTACATCATGGGTCTACATGTGCTAACATGAAAAATGTACACAGAGAAAGCAAGCTATAGAACTAAATATATGGGGTGGGAGAGATGGCTCTGCGGTTAAAACCACTGACTGCTCTTCCAGAAGACCCAGGTTTGATTCCCTGTCATACTATGGCAACTCACAAGCATCTGGAACTTTAGTTCCAAGAGATCTGGTGCCCGCTCTGACTTCTGTGGGCATCAAGTATACAAGTGGTACACAGATGTATATGCAGGTAAAACGCCCAAACATAAAATAAAAATAAATAAATCTCAAAAAAAAATCTTCTAGAGAACTAAATATGAAAGAAAAGAAAAACATTGGTGTGGTGGGTCATGCCTTTATTTCAGCACTTGGGAGGCTGAGGCAGGATTGCTACAAGTTCAAGACCACCACAAACCAGATAAGATGATCCTGTCCTAAAGAGCAAACAAAAGAAAAACTAGCATAAAGCACCTCTATTACGTTATGGATTTTTTTTCAGTTTGTAATAATGGTAGTTATTTTTCCTAGAAACCATAAAAACAATGTGGAATATATGAGGTGATACATAAATGGGTATCTAAAAACACCAATACATAGAAAATAAAGGGTTAGTTTCTATCTTTGCTGTTCTAATTTTAATTTTAGAAAAACATTATTTCAGAAGAATGTATGTTTGTTTTTTTTTCCTAAAAAAAAAAAAAAATTCTGAACTAGTCATCTTTTGCTTTGTTTTACCTCTCTTCCTCCATAATGGAGTCTTCCTTTCCTGTTATTTCTGATGTACTGTCATACATGAGTTTGTGAGTTTCAATGAAGTTTTTCTGTAAGGCAGACATCTGGGCCATGATCTTCTGGCGGTGTAGCCTAGCAGCTTCAGCTTTTCTCTTCCGTTCTGCTTTTTCCTTATCATGAGTAATCTAAATATTAAGTAAAATTAGATAAGATCTCCTGTTAAAAATTCATATCCAGACTGATTATCTTCTGTTTGGTGCAGCAGTTGCCACTTCTGATAAGCTAGACTTCAAACAAAAAGTAATTTGGAAAGATAAAGAGGACTACTACATATTAATAAAAGAATAACCTATCAAGAAGATATAACAGAGCCAGGCATGCTGGCACACACCTTTAATCCCAGCACTCAGGAAGGCAAAGGCAGACTGCTTTGAGTTCGAGGCCAGCCTGGTCTACAAAATGAGTCCAAGACAACCAAGGCTACACAGAAAAACCCTGTCTCAAAAAACAAAAACAAACAAACAAAAAAAAGATAAAACAAGCTGGGCATGGTGGTAGCCTTTAATCCCATCACTCAGGAGGCAGAGGCAAGTGGATCTCTGTGAGTTTGAAGCCAGCTTGGTCTACAGAGTGAGTTCTAGGACAGGCAGGGCTACACAGAGAAACCCTGTCTTAAAAAACAACAACAAAACAAATCAAATAAATAAAAAGATATAACAATTATTGATACATATGCACCAAATATTAGAGCCCCTAATTTTGTAAAACAAACACTAGAAGGCATAGAAGAACATACAGTCCCTGATACAGTAGTGGGGACTTCAATACCAACTCTCATGTTTAAATAGGTCTAAAGAAACCTCAGAACCACAATACGCCATCAGCCAAATGGATGTAGATTATTCTACCTGACAGGGAATATGCATTCTTCTCAGTGGCATATGAAACTGTCTCCAAAACTGATCACATCATAGGCTACAATTCAATACTTAACAAATACTAAAAAACAAATTAATTTTTTGTTTGTTTTGTTCGTATTGTTTTGTTTTTTGAGACAGGGTTTTACTGTGTAGCCCTAGCTGTCCTGTAACTCACTATGCAGACCAGGTTGGCCTTGGACTCACAGAGATCCACCTGCTTCTGTCTTGAGTGCTGGGAGAAAAGGCATGTGCTACCATTTTCTGGCAGAATTAATTCTTCATATAAGACCACAATGAAATAAAAGTAGGAAGCAACAGACAAACTACAGATGCTAGAAAAATACTTGGAAAATGAACAATACATTTTTGAATTAACAGAAATCAGAGAAAAAATTTAAAATTCCTATAATTAAATGAAAATGAGAATACACTCTTCCAGAACCTTTGGGGCACAATCAAGGCAGTCCTAAGAGGAAATTTATAGCTATAAATTCTCATATTTAAAAAAAAAAAACCTGAGAGATCTTAAATAAACAACCTAACAATGTAACTCATGGCTCTAGAAAAACAACAAGAAGCCAATCCCCAAACCAGGGGATGGTAAGACATTATAAAGATTAGAGAAGAAATTAATGAAATACAGACTAAAAGAACATTGGTTTTTTGAAAAAGTTAGTAATATTGACAAATTCTTAACCAATGTGACATAAAGAAAGAATGTGAAGATGAAATTAGAATAAAAGGGTGTTAAATAACAGACTCCAATGAAATCCAAAACATTAATTATTAGTGAATAATTTGAAATTTTATATGCCAAGAAGCTGGAAAACCTAGAATAAATGGCTAAATTGTTATGTGCATATGACCTGCCAAAATTAACACCAGAAGATAAAAATAACTTAAAGAGATTTATTACAAGTAGTGAAGATTTAGCCCAGGCCTTTCCACATGTTTGACAAATGCTCTAGTACACACTAACTTAGTACAATGTGTTTTAGGAAAAAGTTAATAACTTCAAGTAGAAATATTCTAATAATTAAGATAAATGTGGTGGTACACACTTTTGATTCCAACATTTGGGAGGCAAAGACAGATGGATCTCTCTGAGTCTGAGGTCAGCTCGGTCTACACAGTGAGTTGTAGAATAGCCAGGGCTACATAGAGAGACCCTGTCTTAAGAAATAATAAACAAATAAAAAAATTCTAAATTTTAGAGTACTCAAATAATTAAACACTAGCAAATTATTCTATTAATTATTCTAATTAATTCAACATTAGAAAAATATGAGTCAAAACATTATGGAAAATCATGATCTACATATTATCTAATTTTACTGAATCTAAGATGAACCATTATTTTATCCTTCCTAATAGATGGATACTATTGACTAAATTATGAAATGCCATTGACTGAGACATGTCCTAATTTTCAACATGAACACAATTATATTAATTAAAATTAATATAATAGACTATTCCTAACAGAGTTCCACTGGGCATCAAGTTCCTCCAATTTTATAAAATACATACATTGAGGTGAATTTATGTTAAGTGCAGTACAGAAGCACAGGAACAAAAGATGAACAAAAATCACATATTTTGCCACAGTTTCTTCCTAACAGTAACTCCTTATTCAAAGATGGATGAATGTAACATTGTTAGCATGCTGTTACCTCTTCATTCTTAATGGATTCCAATCCTGAAGTGGTTGCCACAACTAAAGAAGATTTTTCTCTTAATCGCTTCACTGTGTCAAACATCTGTGTAAACAGATGAAATATTATGTTTAAAGTGACCAGGGAGAAAAAAAAAATCACTAATTTGATTCAGCCATTTTGTCTCTAAATGCATTTGAGGTAAGCTACTTAAGATACGTACCAAAAACACAAAATTTAAAAAGCGACTCTGACTGTGACAATACTGTTGGTCAATTAGCCATCAGTTGGGCTAGGTAAGTCTGCTGCTCTGAGGATGTCTGTTTGTCTGGGGTGGGGTGCACAGATTTATTTTTAAATTTTAATAAGAACTCTAACTCTTGGGCTCACATGGTTTTTTTGACTTAGCGTTCTAAATAACTGGGATTACATAGCATACTACTAAACCCAGTTTAAAGTAACATTTTTATCCATGTCTTCAAAACAAAGATACCCCACTGTCGCTGTGCCCTATGTAGTGAACACAATCTGGCACCGGGTTATCCCTTTGACATTACTGCCTCCTTGTAGGTTACAGTGATACTGGCATTGCTCTTGGCCATTTTGGAACACTTGCGTGGCAGTACTTTCTTGTGGAGATACTCATTAGAGTCCTAGGATCCCGGCTCTACAAGGATCTAGGTTTCAGCTCTCACTTCACCTTCTGACAAAGACCTTCTCTCACTATTCAAGAGAACTTCTGTCACTGTACTGAACTATCCTCGTGACTGTTTTAAAGGTATCTGTACTTTAACTGTGGTGCGCTCCACGAAGGCAAGCACACTGTGCTGCTTAGAACCTTGAATTCAGCCAGGCATATTGCAACTACTCAGCACACGCACCTGACGATGACATAAATGAGTATGTCATTATTGAAAGAAGCGCCACAGAAACAGAAAAAATTTCAGTTACTAGTACAAAAAAACACACAGTTGTAATCATTGATAGTAAATGACTTTGCAAATGAAGAGAGAACACAGGGGCTTGAATTGAACACAGGGGCTAGCACCAAATAAAAATGTTTTATACACAGTATGGGATTACACAATTAAGTATAATTTAATAATGATAATAAATGACTGTCATTTCTGGACTTTATTTTTGAAATTATAATTACATCACTTCTTCCTTCCTGCCTCCTAAACTTCCTGTAGACTCCTCCCTTGTTCTTTTTTGTTATATGCCTATGTGTGTATATACATACATATTCCTAAATATAAACTGCTCAGTCTGCATAACATTATTTACATGTACTTTCTTATGTGCTCACTGCATCATACTGTAAATTTTTACAAATTTATTCATAATTGTGGGGACTGACTCAAGAACCCACACATGTTAGCACACATTCTGCACTGACCTCTACTGCAGCCAGCCCCATACTACTCTTTTCATTATAATCTGAGAGTACGCCCTTTCTACTTACAAAAGTTTTTGTGCCAGTAGCCCCTCATACATCCTGTATTTGTTTACTGGGTTTATTGATTGCATTAGGCCACATCAAGCAACAAACCACTAAGGCTTGCATTTGCATAAGCATGTTCTGTGGTATTCAAGTAAGGCTGAATCACTTAATGATGCATTTATCAAAATACACTCTTGACATTAAGCAATATATAACTATATTAAACCTATTTACTTTTGTAATATACCTGGAGTATCCATGTTATCATGTCCTTCTGGCCTTCTAATTGGGGGATTCCTTTGAGTTTTTCCAAAAGCATTTGTATATTCTGAGCATTCATGGCTGAACTTCCCAATCCTTTTTTAAAATACAAAATTATATTAAAAGAAAATTATCTTCATAATTATATGTACTAATTATAATTCTTAGTGCCTGTCATTCACATGATGACTGAGGTTTGCCAGCCAGGCCCTTAACTACCTTAGATTTTCAAAGAAAGAAAACTGCGATGACATGAAATACTGAGTGATGACTGTATGAATTATTAAGCACTAAATTAAAAGACTAATTACTTTAGAGGAAAACTCTAATTACTTTAAGTCTCCCTCTGCATCCACCCACTTGCACTGCTAAGCAACAGCTACTCCTAATAGCCTGTTCTTGCTGTTCCTCTTTGTTCACTTTTTACACAAGTACATGATGAGAACAACTGCAGAAATAATGAAGTGAGAGACATTATATTCATATCAGAAAAGGCTTATGACAGCCTCAGTAATCTACAAAAATAGTATAAAAAGAAAATGTGATACTTTGCTTACAATTATGGGTTTTACAACTGTTTCAGGAATTTGCTTTGAACAAGTCTATCCTAGCTTAAGAGCATTCTAATCTAAACCTATCCTATTCCTCAAAATTAAAAAAAAAAATGTACAGGGGGCTGGAGAGATGGCTCAGTGGTTAAGAGTATTGTCTGCTCTTCCAGAGGTCCTGAGTTCAAGTCTCAACAACCATAAGGTAGCTCATAACCATCTATATAATGAGATCTGATGCCCTCTTCTGGTGTGACGCAGACAGAATATTGTATACATAATAATAAACTTTTTTACTAGTTCCTAAAAGAAAAAAAATGTACAAAAAGACACGTTTTCAGTCAGACAGACTTCTTCCCTTTCATATTACAATACTGTAGCTGTAGTAACAACAACTGCAGTAGGGAACTGGAGAAAATTAGTATAATGGAAAACACTAGTTAAAACTAAATATGCTAGACAAGTAAATCATTTAAGGGTGTGGTGGTCTGAACAGGTACAGCCCCCAAGTGGGAATGCTTGGCCTATATGAAGTGGCGAGATTATGAGGTGTGGCCTTGTTGGAGGAGTATTGTCATTGTTGGGGTGGGCTTTGAGAACACACACACACACACACACACGCTCAAGCTCCACCCCAGTTTGGTACACAGTCTCCTTCTGCTGTCTGAGGATCCAGATAGGGAACTCTCAGCTCCTTCTCCAGCACCATATCTGCCTGGATGCTGCCACGCTCCCAACCATGACGACAAAGGACTAAACCTCTGACACTGTAAGCCAGCAGGTATAAGAGTTACCTTGGTCATGGCGTCTCTTTACAGCAATGAAACCCTAACTAAGACAAAGGGTTTTCTAAACTTTAAGGACTGACAGATAAAAACTGTTGCAGGTCCAAACTTTCATTTACAAACTGGCAATTAGCTAGAAGCTTGTTGGGATGATGCTTTAGCATACTTGAAGCCTTATGGTAAAAGTCAAATGTCACTTCCTCTTCAGGAGCTTTCTGAAGCTGCTGCTTCTCCTCCAGCAAGCCCAGTGCCAATATGTGGAATGCCTGGAGGAGGAGAACAAGGGTCTGTGAAGTGCTTCTTCTTTAACTGGAGGTACTAATATAAATAACCCAAGGAGAAAGAAAACAATAACCAAATATGGACAAAGCTTATAAACAAAGAGTTAACAGAAAGAGAAATCATGAATACTATGAGAAATGCCCAACCTAAGTTCAAATTAAGGAGATATAGTTTAAGGTGACTGAAAGAGTGTTACTTTAAAAGTGACAAAAATTTAGAGGTTAGTATAAACTACACAGCTGCCAAAAGAGTCAGGAAGCAGTCACTTGTTATTACACTGGTGATAAAGAGATAAACAAGTTTTACATTAAAAACAAACAAAACCATTGTGACAATATCAGTCAAAAATTGTAAAGGAACCATATACTAGGAATTGGTATGGCAAATACACTCATTTGTGAGGATGCCCAATGTAAACCAGGTGTAGTACACATCTGTAACCTCATGTACTTGGAAGGCTGAAGTGGGAGGATCCCCAAAGCCCACAAAACCAAGACCAGCCTGAGAAGTATAGAGAAGCTATCACAAGCAAGCAAGGAAACTAACTATAAACAATGTTCCTCTTAGTGTCCCTTGTTATAACAAAACCCTAAATCCAAACACAATGTTTATTAATAACAGAAAAGTTAAACGTGTGATAGTATACCGACATGAGATACCCAAGCAAACAAGAATGACAAAGACCTTTCTGAGCTTATGTTGGTATAGTTTCCAGATATGCAAAACATTAACAGTGCTTATCTCCTAAGTAGGACACTGGGAGATGTAGGGAAATTTTTAATTGGAATTCAAATAAAGCTCTACAATACCAAATATAGCACTGAAAGTATTTATCATTGTTACAAGTATTGACATATATATAGAGCATGAACTTAGACCAATAACAAAACCAACAGGGGAGGGGGATGTTAAATAGGTATGAAATAATTATATAAATATAGCTACCATAAAATAGCAGGCTTAAGTAATTCATTATTAGTGGTACCAACAAGCCGGGTATGGTGACTCATATGTATACTCTTAGCCTTCAGGCAGGGGCATTGACACAAGTTTTAGGCTAGCCTAGGCATTAGGACTTTCAGTCCACCCTGTTTCAAAAAACCAAAACAAACAAATAGAGCTGCAAGTGTGGCTTGGTGGTAGAGTTCTTGTCTAGCATATACACGTTCCTGGGTTCATTCCCACCAAACCAGACCAAATAAACATATGCATATAAAAAGCATGATGCATCGGGCAGTGGTGGAGCAAGCCTTTAATACCACCACTCAGGAGGCAGAGGCAGGTGGAGTTCTATACGTTCCAACCTGGTCTACAGAGCGAGTTCCAGGCTGTTTCGAAGAAACAAAAAAGCATGATGCAATGTGATATGGACTTATCGCTAACATGAAGAGACTTCTTTTTCTTTTTTCTTAACTGAGAAGGAGCTTTATTTGAATAGAGTTAGAGAGTGGTACCTAAAATAGCATAGGAATGATTATGTTCCAAAAGAGCTCATTAACCAAATGGGTTCTATTTCCCAGCAGCTTTGCAGTTAATGCAATCAATAAGAGGATTGCCAGGAATATAGTTACCTTTGATCACTGTAATATGCTCCCATTACAAAAGTACATGGTACATCACAATTAAATTTCTACAAAATCCCAACCACAAGAATTACAGGAGGAAATAAAAACAGATGACGTCTTACAGATTTTAAACTTGTCTTCACTACTTGATTCATCAGAGATCACAGCATCTTTAAAAGACAGCGCTTCCTCTTTCTCCATTTATAGCATCTCTCAAAAGGGAGAAGGCACCCTTGGCTAGCCCAGGGATTGCCATTCTCCCTACCAGCCAGGGCTGAACAACAGGGGAGGGCAGAGCAGAGTGAGGCAGGGAGCAGAAGGTTAATTTCCCCTAGCACAACACAGCTGTTAGAGCTTGATGGGAGAGCAGAGCTGGGGAGACTAGATTTGGGAGAGGGATACGGGCCCTGCTTCCTGTCAGAATCATTAGAAGAGGAGGAGGAAGAGCGGGAATGGCTGCCACGCTTGCACTGTTTGTGCATCTTTTTTATGAGCTTTCTTCATTTTCTTTTCCATCATCATTCCTGGCTTTATCATGGCAGAAGCCAGAGAAATCACAAAAAAGGGGAAGGATAGAGACCTTAGTGTTGGCATCCCTAATACCCGAGATGTGGCACAGGATAAAAAGGCCACTTGGAGAGAAAGCTGGGGAACATCTTGGGGAGGAGAGAAGCCAGAGGGAAAGAAAAGATGGGGAGATGGTGAACTGGCAAGACTGGAACCTCCACGGTATATACAGATTTGGCCCTGGCTGCCTAGCAGTGGGATTCTACATGTTTAGATGCTTGTTCAAGCCTTTCCAAGTACTTGATTAAGCCTTCCCAGTCTTAGCTTCACTTCCTGGTTATCCCTATTCTATGCACTTTTTTTTTTTTTTTGAGTCTTTTAAAACAAATCATTCTCAAGGATAGGTATGCTAAAAACATGAGAATGTATCACAAAAGAAACTTGGGCCACACTTAAAACTACTTTAATGACATGTATCATGTGTTTCTGACATAGTTCTTATTGACAGTAATCCGGGAATTGTTTTTCAGATTCCACAAGTACTCAAGGAAAACACTGCAGGTAAACATACCATTTGGAGCATTCCTTCTGTCCACAAATTAGAATCTGTGTCTACTGCCCGCTCAAATATGGTTCTGAGAATGTACATCATAATATCACAGTTGAGAAGGTTGATTACTTTGCTGAAAGCAGGGCAGAACTCAGGAGGAGGTGGTGGCGGCAATGCTGTTAGAGAAGCAGAATAAATGAGGAAAATAAACAAACAGGTACATTTTTATTTGAACTGCCCTTACACACTAAATTACAAATATCAAAATTCATAGTTTAAATGCAAAATAACACATGATTTTTTTTTTTTTTTGCTTTAAAGCGCAGAAAATATAAATGTCAAGGGAAATGTAAACTGCTATACCAGTCTCCCCAAATAAATCCCATTTGCTAACAATTTTAAATGCTATCATTCATGTTGGCCACATCTTAATATGAAATGAAAAAGACTTTATATTTCCTTTAGTTGGCCCCCTCAAATTAAAAAAACACCCACAAAAATAGTCCAAATGTGTCATTTCAGAATCTTGATTTTTACCTTCATCTTTATTTTCTTGTTTTCTCCTTTTCTTCTGCATATGTTCAGCCTATTAAAACAAAACAAAAAAAAGTAAAACTATCATTGCATACACTGCTTAGCAAGCACAAAACAAATAGAATGTTTGAAAAAAAAATAGAAAGATTGACCTACCTAAAATACTTCATATGCTAATTTAAAATGTATTCAAAATATTGTGTAACTTTTATATTCATTTCTATTTCTATTTTATTTATTGTATTAAATGAAAGCTCCTGTGTTAAGACTCCATTGCTGTGAGAAAGCAGCAAAAAGCGTGGCAGCATCTCGCTGAGCCCGTGCCTGGCTTCTGATCTTCATGGCGAGGAAGCCATGTTAGAACAGTGTATTTCCCACAATACACTGTGGGCATCAAAGAAGCAAGACAATGCTGGCAGTAACCAGCTTTCTTTCTCCCCACTTTTGTAAATTACTCAACTTAACCAAAGGTCAACAAAACCAGCCATCACCTAAAACAAGTGATCATTTAATCGCCCTTCTAGGACAAACAAACACTATCAAAACTGCAGAATAGCTATTGTTGTGAAATAAAAGACATGACATGAAGAATGTGACTGTAAAATGAAGGATGCATCACTGAATTCTCCTGTAATGACTTTTTTTTGGTTTGGTTTGATTTTTCTAGACAGGGTTTCTCTGTGTAACAGAGACTGGCTGTCCTGGCCTCACTTCTGTAGACCAGGCTAGCCTCGAACTCATGGAGATCCTCCAGCCGCTGCCTCCCAAGTGCTGGGATTAAAGGTGTTTGTCACCACATCTAGCCTGTAGCAACTATTAAGGACATTTCTGGTGTAGTCAAGAAAATCCAAATATTCTGTATACATGAGATTACTGATCAAGTTTTTAATTTTCTTGAATGATTTCACCCTCTCTTGCATGATTCACGAGAGCCATCCTAAAACTATTTTTCTATAGATTCAGAAAACATACAGGACCTGAGGTTTATTTACTGAAAATGATAGTTTTCCTACCTTGCTATGTTGTGTTTTAGAATAATGGTAAAAGTACATATTGAAGTCTTTCAGTGATTCATCTTTCAGCTCATAAACTCCATGGCCTGATACACCTGGTTTCCTAAAGCAAGAGAAAACACAAGATGAACAGCAGTGTTTTTGTTTTCACAGTACTGAAAATAGACAAAGTAAGACTCTAAAATCTAATCTAAAATTCAAGATTCTCCCCCCCAAAAAATTGTATCTCAGAAATGATCAATTTAGTTGCTATAATAATAAAAAACACTGAATACAAATTCTTGACAACAGTGAAACTGTATTTAATCCGGGAATTGTTTTTAATAGTTATGAAATTCAAACAAACCTGGGAGTTTGTTTTGTGTTAGCTGAACCTGATAGTATGCCTTTTTTAGATTCCCAGACTTCTTCTATAGTCTCTGGGTTTAAAGGTGCCCGTTAAACTACAGTATAATAAGCAATTTAGGGTCAAACCTCAAATGGTAAAGCAACAAATAATTTGAAACTGTTAAAATAATAGTGTGGAATCCTCTATCAAGCGCTGTTTTGGTAAAAGCACCAAAGCTAAAAGGAACAGATCATATTTGCTATGAACATTTAGCACCTTTGAGTTTCTGCTAACAGGAATAAAAAGCCACATGCAATTTTATGTTATTTGAAACTAGTAGTGGGCTGCAGAGATGGCTCAGCATTTAAGAACACTGGCTGCTCTTCCAGAGGACCAGCACCTACATGGCAGCTCACAACTGTACTTAACTCCAGTTCTAGAGGATCTGGCACCCTTGCACAGACATACATACAGGCAAAACATCAGTGAACAAAAAAAAAAAATAAAAATCTTAAAAAAAAAAAAACCCTAATAGCATCGCCCTAAACACAATACAATCACAAGTCACAATACATTGTTAGTATCAATGTTCTATATATCAAGAATTAATCCAGTTAACATTTTACCTTACATACATAAAGAGTGAAAAAATTATAAGATACGGTAAGCTCTGTTAGGAAAAATGCTAAGATTAGCATATAAAATAAAAATTTTAATTAGCTTCAAATTATGGAAAGAGTTATCAGATAGTCTTATTAGCTTACTGTCTAAATCACCTAATATCACTAGACAAATTTCTATTAACCTGCCACATAAAGAACCTCATTTCATCAACAAATACATTTAATTATTTCATCATTAAACACAATTAGTCAACATTAGTGCATTCCTCATTCTCATCCCTCTACTCCATATTGTATTCTTATTGCTCAGAGTTCTATAGAAAATTTCAGATGTTCTACAAAGTATCCAGAGTACAAAAATAAAGATCAGACTGTCTCTTAGAATAAGGATAAGTATTAAACACTTACTTAAATGTGGCCACTTTGTTTATGACATTCTCTAAGCCAGTTTCATTATTTTCCTGTTGAAACAACATTTTTGTCACTTTTACCTTCAGGTAATGACTTTTTCTTCTTACTATGAACTGAAATACATTTTAAACTTCATCTCTGAAGCACTTTATATACAATAAATTAAAAGAATAACTGCAATATTGTATTAAAAGCACATATAAAAGCTGGGCAGTGGTGGAGCACACTTTTAATCCCAGCACTTGGGAGGCAGAGGAAGATGGATCTCTGTAAGTTCAAGGCCAACCTCGTCTACAGAGCAAGTTCAAGGATAGCCAGGGCTACACAAAGAAACCCTGTCTTGAAAACCAAAATAACAACAACAAAAAATGCATGTGAAGCCAGTATGTTGTAGGGAAGTAATTTCTTAAGATACATAATCTTATGTATAAATAGCACAAGATAAGGTAACTCTCTGAGTTTCCCACCTATTTGTATGTACACACACACACACACACACACACACACACACAATCTTTAACTCCCACGTTCCTTTTTTTCCCCTTCTTTTTTGTTCTTTTGGATAGTGTTGGAATTTAAAATACAGAGCCTTATGGCAAGTACTCTATCACTCGGCTATACATGCAGTGTTTAAAAAGAAGCCTGATACAGTATATTTATCAACAACATTTAGGCCTATGTCCATACTTTACTAATCCTTGAAACCAGAGGAATATCGAATGGCAGAGAAATACTTAAAGAAATGCTCAACCTCATTAGCAATCAGGGAAATGCAAATCAAAACGACCCTGAGATTTTACCTTACACCCATCAGAATGGCCAAGATGAAAAACTCAAGTGACAACACATGCTGGAGAGGTTGTAGAGAAAGGGGACCCCTCCTTCACTGCTGGTGGGAATGTAAACTGGTACAACCACTCTGGAAATCTATCTGGCGCTTTCTAAGACAATTAGGAATAGTGCTTCCTCAAGACCCAGCTATACCACTGCTAGGTATATACCCAAACTTTGCTCAAGTACACAAAAGGGATACTTGCTCAACCATGTTTATAGCAGCTTTATTTGTAATAGCCAGAACCTGGAAACAACCCAGATGTCCATCAACGGAGGAATGGGTACAGAAATTGTGGTATTTTTACACAATGGAATACTACTCAGCAATCAAAAAGAAGGAAATCATGAAATTTGCAGGCAAATGGTGGGATCTAGAAAAGATCATTCTGAGTGAAATATCCCAGAAGGAGAAAGACAAACACGGTATATACTCACTTATATAGACCTATAAGATATGACAAACATAATGAAATCTATACACCTAAAAAAGATTATCAAGAGAGCGGACATGGGGTAAGATGATCAATCCTCATTTAGAAAGACAGATGGGATGTGCATTGAACGTATGACAGGAGTCTACTGAGAGCATCTGAAAGACTCTAACTAGCAGTGTTTCCAAAGCAGATACAAAGACTCATGACCAAACCTTTGGCAGAGTACAGGGAATCATATGAAAGAAGGGGAGTTAGTATGATGGGGAAAGGATAGGAGCTCCACAAGGAACAAATATATCTGGGCACAGGGTCTTTTCAGGGACTGACATTCAACCAAGGACCATGTATGGATATAACCTAGAACCTCTGCTCAGATGTAGCCTGTGGTAGCTCAGTAACCAATTGGTTTCCCATAGTGAGGGGAACAAGGACTATTTCTAACAGGAACTCAATGACTGGCTCTTTGACCTCCCACCCCCCAAGGGAGGAGCAGTCCTGTTAGGCCACAGAGGAGGGCTTTGCAGCCAGTCCTGAAGATACCTGATAAAACAGGATCGGATGAATGGGGAGGAGGTCCCCCCTATTAGTGGACTTGGAAAGGGACACGGTGGAGATGACGGAGGAAGGGTGGGATTGGGAGGGAATGAGGGAGCCGGACACGGCTGGGATACAGAGTTAATAAAATGTAAATGATAAGAAAAAAATAAAATTAAATTAAAAAAAAGAAACCAAGGTAAACAGAATGACTAGCCTCCAACCAGAAACACACAGCAAAATATCTGTGCAACATGTCCAGATTGTTCCTCCTTTTGCAACTCTGATAGTTTTCTACTAATTAGCACAAACTCTTCCTTCAAAACAGAATAGTATTTTTATGAAGTCATTTATAATGAGGAGAAGGGGCTAGATAAGCTACTACAGTAAACTTACAGCTACCTATGGATTTTAAAAATTAAGAAACTTGTGCTCGCTTCGGCAGCACATATACTAAAATTGGAACGATACAGAGAAGATTAGCATGGCCCCTGCGCAAGGATGACACGCAAATTCGTGAAGCGTTCCATATTTTTTTTTGTAATAGCCAGAACTTGGAAACAACCCAGATGTCCATCAACGGAGGAATGGATACAGAAATTGTGGTATTTTTACACAATGGAATACTACTCAGCAATCAAAAAGGAGGAAATCATGAAATTTGCAGGCAAGTGGTGGGATCTAGAAAAGATCATTCTGAGTGAAGTATCCCAGAAGGAGAAAGACAAACTTGGTATAT